CTGGCGACGAGAGGTAACTTCTCGTCCCAGTCATCCTGGCTTGGCTTAATATAATGCCTAAGCAGGTGCTGCACTACCCGGTTCATCTGTTCTGCTTGGCCATTGGACTCGGGGTGATTCCCTGACGTCATCTGGAGCTTTGTGCCCATTTGCTCAGCAGTTGACTGCCACAGTTCACTTGTGAACCTGACATCCCTATCACTAACGATAGACGTAGGCAAACCGAAATCACGAACCCAATTGTCCATAAACAGTTTGATGACGTGGTCAGTTTTAGCTGTTTCTGGCATAGCGATTAGTCTTGCATACTTAGTAAAACGGTCGACTATTACGAAGATGTGTCTCTTTCCAGACTTACTGGTCACAAGGGTATCCATGAAGTCCATGGACACACTTTGACCAGGACCTCCAGGAATCGGCAAGGGCTTGATGAGCCCAAGCGGAGCCAGAGTCCTTAGTTTGTCTCTTTGGCAAACCTGGCAGGTTTCAGCATAACGTTTTGCATCTTCCATTATAGAGGGCCACCAGAATCTCTGAACTAAGTTTGCTGTTGTCTTTTTATAGCCAAAATGACCAGTTGCATCGTGACATTCTCCTAAAAATAAACTACGCAACGACTCACTACTGGGGACACACAATCTTTTATTCCCCGCCTTATCAAGGAACAACAAGTCGTCTACCATCGTAAATTCGTCCAAAGTCTTTTTATCCTTTGCCTTGAACCTACGAATAATCTCTGACATGACTGGGTCTCCCTAATAGGCTTCCACCAACGATCGAGTGAGGTCATTAGATATGCCAAACTCAGTTACTAGCGCGCCCAGATAATCTGCTCTTCTTGATAGCGCATCAGCCACTTTGTTGTACGTACCCTTGATAGGATCAAGTTGATAGTCATACATGTCTATCACTTGAATCCATCTCTTGAGTGCGTCCGACAAGACTGGTTGTGTCTTGATCCAGCGCAAAGTCTCATGGTCAGATCYCATGTAGAAGAACCTTCCTAGGAGGTAATGTCTCCAATGAACTAGCGCTCGGTACAGGGCGTAGAGCTCTCTTTCATAAGTGGACTTAGCCAACTTCTGAGATGGCATCTTCTTGCTCATATACTCGATCGGTCTCAACTTGGGCCCTTCCTGTTGCGCAAGGACCGCGCCTATGCCATATTGGCTAGCGTCTGTGGTCACAACAAACGGCTTGTCAGGATCAGGAAGTTTGAGAACTTCGTAGTGTGTCAGAGCATACTTCAATTTCTTGAAGCTTGCTTCACACTCCTCAGTCCACTCCCAAGTGGTGTCAAGTCAAGTTAGATCTGTCAATGGGGAAGCTATAGTACTATAGTGTTTCACAAACGGACGATAGTAGCCTGTCATCCCCAAAAACGATCTGACCTCAGTAACAGTTTGAGGTCTGGGCCAGTCACATATGTTGGCCACTTTCGCATCTTCCGGCCTCAATCCATCTGCTGAAATTTCATGACCCAAGTACAAGATCTTGGTGCGACCAAACTCACATTTATCCAAGTTTACCTTGTACTGGTGCTGTCTTAGGAGACCTAGCACTATTTTCAAGCGTTCAACGTGCTCTTTACAGTCCTACTGAAGATGAGAATATCGTCGAGGTACACGACGATAAACTTATCCAAGTAGTCATGAAAGATCCTATTCATCGCGTGCTGAAACGTACCAGGCGCATTGCATAGGCCAAAAGGCATCACCACAAACTCGTACAGACCGTACCTGGTCTGAAATGCGGTTTTGTGTTCGTCCTCCGGCCTAACGGTAATTTGATGGTATCCGGACTTCAGATCTATCTTTGTGAAGTACCGACATCCTTGCACTTTATCCAAGAGGTCGTCAATGCGGG